TGGTGGGAGGGTGGTGGGAGTACGGTGGGAGGGTGGTGGGAGGGTGGTGGGAGGGTCTCCCAACGTTAAAGCTATGAGGTCAGGGTTAAAGTCAGACAAACAGGCCGGTGTCAGGTGATAACACTGCAGCGTAGTACACAGACAGTACTCAGCTGTACTGTAGTACACACCTGTGTAGAAGTAACACAGTCAAATTCTGACCAACAACATTTTTCCATTTTATTGCGTTTCCTAAAATGCACGGACCATTAGAGTTTTATTGCTGAAATCATTTTTACACTTTTTAATAATAATAATTAAATTTTTTTTCCTGTGGTCCAGTTATTGTTGGTGGAGCAGAAAAAAGTTTTTTCGGGTTTGAGTTTTACTACACCGTCAGTACTCATCAATATTAGACTGTTCTTATACATGACCAGAGAGGGGAGGGGGCTCAGGGTTGTCAGGGAGGGCTGTTTGAGAGAGAGAGAGAGAGAGAGAGAGAGCTACCACATGAACATGAACTGTCAGTCCTTAACATTGACATGGTCAAACTACGGCCCGTGGGCCATAAAAAGCCCCTGTGGACCATCTATGACTAGATGTTCTCTGGAGTGTGGAGGAGTTCTGAGGACTGGACCACTGGTCATCACAGACCAGTCACTTCTCCGTCTCCACTACACTCCCACCTGCTGCTGCTGCTGCTACTACTGCTACTGCTGCTGCTGCTGCTACTACTGCTACTGCTGCTGCTGCTGCTACTACTGCTACTGCTGCTGCTGCTGCTGCTACTACTGCTACTGCTGCTGCTGCTGCTGCACTCTGTTTGTTATTGATCATCGGTCCTCAGGAATCAAGTGCTATTGATTTGTCTTCAGCTGTGAGCCTCTCTCTCTCTTTCTCTCTCTCCCTCCCTCTCTCTCTCTCTTTCTGACCTTTGGTTCTTCTCAGACCAAACATCCTGACCTCCCAGACTGAGACTCTGTGAAAACACACAATTACTGCAGCCCTCTTCAGACAGAGACGTCTGAGTGCGTCCAGAGAAAAGGACAGATCATTACATCATTACATCATTACTGCAGTAACTTCAAAGACGTCTGGTTGTTGAGGAGGTGGTCTGACTTTGGTTTATTTGAAGGAAAAACATTAGTGTTCCAACAGAATGAATGAGTTCCTGTTTGTAGAACATGAAAAGAAATAATTCTGCTGGACACAGACGTGTCACAAGGTGGAGCTGTGATATGTTTGCTCTGTTCAACAGGTACTTCCCTGTATTTTCATGACAATAATAATAATAATGATAATTATTATAATTATTGTGTTATTATCATGTATTATTATCATGAGGTAACTTTTATTTCCTCCTTCTTCACGTTCAGCACCCTGGACAGTTCCCTGGTCCATCAGAGGTTTAGGGAACAGTTCACCTGATCCTGTATGTTTCTGAACTGTGTGAGGAAACTGAAGTACCTGGAGTAAACTAAGGTAGTTTCCACTGAGGCTGTAAGGCAAACCCACCAACCACTTGTCCACCGTGTGGCGCTCAGTTCTAGGTTCTTGTGGTGTATTATTTTCTGTAGTTTTTGCCGTAGCTGATTAACCAGACTGCAGTGAACGCCTCAGACTGGAGACGTTTGAATCACGTGGGAATTGTCGTCCTTCCAGCAGTTTCTCCAGTTGGTCGTCAGTTTGAAGCCCATCACTGACGTGTTAATGTTGTTGTTGCTCTCTCCTCAGTGAGGCCAGATGTTGATCACAAACATCATCATCATCATCATCATCATCATCAGCAACCACCTGTGGAGACCGACACCGCTGATAGGCTGAGCCGCTCCGGGGCCTCAGGACTGATTGGATCTGTCTGGGTCTGGATGTTACTCTGCGTACATTCACTCACTGCCCCGTAGAGCTGCCCCCCGGTGGCCGCCAGTGGGTTCTACAGAGGAACGTCTCTGCAGGACACAGAACACGCTGTGGTCAATGAGAACTTTAGGACTTCGACAACTGCTTTTCTGAAACCAGTTGACAAAGACGGTACACAGCGACATCAGGTGGAACTTCTGGGGAAGACTTCGCAGACGGAAAAAAAATCCATGATGTCGTCTTGGGAATATTCTAGAACACTGCACAGAGATGGTTTGTTGAGACGGTTGAGAAGCAGCCGTGGTGATGAAGCTGTAGTTTAAGAAATGCTCTAAGTCTAACTTTTCTTTTTCTTACAAAGCTGAAAAGCTGCTGTTCTGTCCAAAGACATTTATTTTGAAAAGTGTCCAAATGTGTTTGTCATTGTTAGTGACAATAAGGTAAACATTTTTATAAATAAAGCATATTTTGCACTGATAATCTTTTAACAATTCCAATAATGTGACATTATTTTTTTGATATACGGCCACATATGAAGTGACCAGTGCCCCTGACCTCGTCCACGGACCACTGCTTGGGAACCAACGTCAGGACATCAGGTTTGTGTATTTTTAAAAATGCCAATAATATCTGTTTTTTCACGCTGCGGCCCAGGTTCTACTTCCTTTGCCAAGTCGACCTGTAACGCAGGGTCTGATGGACGCGGTGAAGGGAGCGCCACCACGGGAGGAAATGGAGCAGAGGTGAGAAAATTCATACTCCACTCTGCTTTAGGAATAGATTAGTTTTCTCCAGAGTCCATTATCATCTTTCAAACTCAATTCCTCTCTGCCTTCACGGCCACCACTGAGGAAGAAGTCGTTTGGCTGCCACCTGTCTGCACGTAGCTGATGGTTCACTGGTGGAGCAGGAAAAAAAAATCTAAGAGATGTTTTTACATCGAAGGGGAAAGACGTTCAGGTGTAAAATAGGATTGGAAAAAAATAAATAATTATAAAATATATATATTATATATGAATGTATATATATATAAATATATGTAAAGTATGTATGTATGTGTGTATATACGTATATATATATATATATAAATATATATATATATAAAGTATGTATGTATCTGTAAATATATAGCTGGGTCACTCTTCAGACCTACTGGGACTCGTAAACCAAGGTTTTTTCCAGGGTGTTAGAACCATTTCTTTTCAATAAATAGGGTGAGGAGAGTCAAAAACCTCCCAGAGGGGTGAGATAGATGGGAGAGAAAAGTGTCTGATGTTAATGACAAAAACCAGTTCAGACTGGTCTCTGTCTCCGACAACTTCAACTAGTCCCCTCACCTCCTCCTGCCCCAGTCTTCATCCCCTCACCTCCTCCTCTTCATCCCTTCACCTGCTCCTCTTCATCCCTTCACCTGCTCCTCTTCATCCCTTCACCTGCTCCTCTTCATCCCTTCACCTGCTCCTCTTCATCCCTTCACCTGCTCCTCTTCATCCCTTCACCTGCTCCTGCCTCAGTCTGTAATATTGTTTTTTTTTTTCTGACTGTTGACACCAGGATATTCTTCCATTTCTCTTCTACAGCTTTATGCTAAAGTAGCTACGTTTACCTGAAGGTACTGAGAATCAGCAGAGTACTGCAGTACAACACGTATTACTGTTACTTATTCAACTTTCTCATTGATTTCATTCTTTTCAAACCAAGACCCTGGTGACCTTTTTTCTTCTTCTTCCCATTGTGTCTGTTTGTACATTTGATGTGTGTACTCTGGAAACACACATGACTGCAGTACTGTGTACTTTCTCAGCCCTCGTCCCTGAGTTGAAATCTCCTTTTCTTCTGAGGTGGGAAGTGCCATCAATAAAGTGCTTTTCTGCTGTCTGCCCCCCCACAGCTCCTCCATTATTAGACAGGACTACAGCAGATCATAAATCCTCCAGCTTTTCTCCTCCGTCATCTTGTTCTTCATCATTGACACTCTTCCTCCTCTCTTCTTCCTCCTTTTCCCTCCTTCCTTCACTGAGGGGAAGTTTGAATTTCTTCCACTTCACTCACAAACTTCAGTCTTTGACCTGTTTTCTGGAAAATTCCTTAAAGAAAGAACTCGACTTAATGCCAATGCGATCGAACCACTGACCTCCTTGCAGTAAAGCAACAGCACAAACCACTCCTCCACTGGACGTCATCTACAGCTGCAGATGTGAAGTTAAAAAAAAAAACCCAAATCTTTTCAGATATTTTTATGGAACCAAACTCAGCAGTGGAGATGATTGAGATGATTTATCAGCTGTAGTAGAAGTAGAGGGGGAGAGAGGGAGAGAGAGGGGGGGAGAGGGGGAGAGAGGGGGAGATCATATTCATTATGATGTGCTCCTGAAAGCTGATCTGTTGTTTGGCACCACAGCAGAGAGTGTGGAAGTGAACACAGGCGTATTTATACCCACTGTGGGATGATGGGACGGATCCTCGGTTATTCTGAGACGGTGTTTGAAGAAAGAAAATAACTTCCTGTTATTATTTCCAGGTTATTTCTGAAGATACTACAAGGCTAGAATGTTAGGAAGCTTTAATATTTGTTTATATTTACTAACGTCCCAGCACCCTCGTGAGCTAACAGTGCTATTTTATTTAGTGGCCTACTTATCACCGCTCACATTATCCGGACCATTCCCACGGCCACTGACCCATTTGCCAAGCGTCAAAATTTGAATTTTTTTTGTGTGGAGGCTGAAATTGTTCTTTATATTTCTAATCTTTATATTTTTACTCTATATTTCTAATGTTTATATTTCTGATCTTTATAATTCTAATATTTATATTTCTAATGTTTATATTTCTACTCTATATTTTGAATATATATATATTTCTAATATTTATATTTCTAATTTATATATTTCCACTCTTAATATTTCTAATATATGTATTTTTTTCTCTATATTTCAAATCTATATATTTCTAATCTTTTTATTTTTAATTTATATATTTCTAATAATTTATATTTCTAATCTTTATATTTCTAATCTTTATATTTGTCCTCCGTCTCCTGTTCCACTGTGCCCTGTCTTTGGTGTCAGGAACTGTTGGGCTTGAAAACAGTTCCCGGCTGAGGTTTTTTTGACGGCGTCCTCCGCACGTGTTCTTCAGGTTCCAGTTTTTGTCGGAGCTGCTGAATTATTGATGCTTCTTAATGAAGACGGTGAAACAGCAGTTGATGTGAACGTGAGCCATTAATCAGCCGAGGCTCCAGGACGTCTCGTCCGGCATCGTGTTGCCATGGCGTACCAAAGCAAACATGATTAGACGCCGCTCTTCAACGGGCAACTTTAACAACCTGTAATGAGACTAATAGAACCCTTCATGAAACATCAGCGCACACGTGGAACCAAAAATAGAAGAAGTAATAGAAGAATAGTTTAACAACACTGAGGACGGCAGGTTTTCTACTGCAGCTGTGGGTGTATTTATCATAGTAAATATATGAATATATTTTTGATCTGAACTTCAGTCCAGTCGTTGCCCTCAACAGTATCAGTCGGTCAACACTCCTGAACAATCCATCTGACTGTTGTGTCAGTCAGACTGTCAGTCGTAGACTGTCAGGGTGCTCTGACACAAGCCAGGGCCGCTGACCAGAGGTTGAAACCCCCACAAACACATGCTGGGAGTTGATGATGGGATGTTACGATGCAGCTGCTTCGGTGAAACGAAAAAGAACTTCATCCTTAATTTTCATTTAAAATGTTTCAAATAATATCATGTTATTGTCTGTGTATTAGACTAATAATTAATCAATAAATAATATTAGGGATGTCTGAGCGTTAGCTTTTTGCCGACGGATTTGCGATAGTTGTTAGTAATCAGAGGAAGATGGTGTAAGGAATAAGCAGTGTGACACAGGAGACGTCGTGAAAAAGTTCTCATTACCGACACTGAGGACAACTTCTAGACCTAAATGCAGACTCAGGACCTTCTCAGTGGACGTCCTGCAGAGAGACGTCCCTCAAGTAAATAGTTTAATCAGTGTAAACTGCAGGAGTGGCGTGGCTCGAGGGCAAAGGTCACAGTCCCGTGACGAGGAATCAAACCGCCTGTAGTTGGTTTTGAAGTGTAGCGCTGACACGCCGAGCATCAGAACATCATTATCTGTCAAATCTGGGGCAACTTTTTAAGACCTGAAATCTATAAAAGCTCTTTGTTATTTATGTCTGAGGTTAAATCACTTTAATTGCGCCGCTCTGGTGGGAGTGAAAATTGAAAAACCAAGGTTTAATTTTATAGGTCCTTATTTCCAAGGGACTTCTCCACTGTCTCCAAGCCCTCGCACTATTAGTTGTCATGTAAAAAGCAATTACAATCAGTGCTGGGATCAGACGTGTCATCAGAGAATCCATTAACAACGTCCTCAAACCCCTCAATATTTACACTCACCAGCCTACTTTTCCAGGGCGGCGCTGACTTTTATGAGCAGTGAAGGGCAATTAAAAGGCATGAGTCTGGCTGTCAGGTCTGTTGTCTTCCACTCTTTATGATCTCACCCAGGTATTTATTGCAGCACTGTTGCATTTCATTAAATTATACGAGTGTTCGTGTTGGGCTGTGACACTGCGTTTGAAGCAGAAAAGAGTTTTTTTCCCTCGTATTTCACAGATGTGTAATTAAACTGCTGCTTTAAAATAAAAGTGTAGTGAAAACAAATAGATTGAAGCTAATGCTGTTCTCACAGCTGATCACTGACGGCAATCATGTTCGACCGGTTCATCTGATGAAACACCAAAGTGAGGCTGTAGTTCATGAGGCTGTGGTTCATGAGGCTGTAGTTCATGAGGCTGTAGTTCATGAGGCTGT